ATTTCTTGTGATTCGTGCATGGAACTAATATTGCTTTTGCACACATAAAAATCAACCGTTAGTCCATAACTTTATACCGGTAATCTATTTCAGGAAAGTTTCAAATCATCACTTTTGAAGAGTTCATTAACATAGCACTGGATGCACCCAGAGTTGTTGGAATATATCCAGAGATAAAAAGTCCAGTATTTATCAATCAACATGTGAGTATTTCTTTGTAGAATCCAACAAATGCCTAAATGTTAGGAATATATTCGGGGGGGAACGGGGGTGTGGACTTGAATCGACAAAGATTAAGTTGTTATGAAAGGCAGAGCTATTGATATATAATTCATCTAACTGAAAAATATAATTGAATCTACCAATTTCCAAATTAAGGCTAATGAGTATTACTGGAGGTAAGATTATGTTGTTGGAAGTTTCTAAATGCAAATTACATTAAGAATTCTTAAATGTTTTACAAAAAATCTTACAATGTCATGCTTGCTAATTTCGTCTTAATAGTATAATGTTTTAGCCAAGTTCTTTGGGGATTTTGTCTTCTTTCCGTTCATTAAGTCGAATTGATACAATCAACAGGTTAAATGGTCAGATGGCAAAAGATTTGAAGACAAGTTTGTGGAGACACTTCAGAAATATGGGTTAAAAGGTTCCTACCTGTCAAAAAATTGGCGGAGACAACCTGTATTCATTCAGTCATTTGCTCCAACTTCACTCGTGTATATAGCAAATAAGACGGATTTGCCCAAAATTTTCTTAATTAACGAAGTTGTTATTCCAACGGAGGACACCAATCAGGTTTGTAATACATTTTACCCCATATGTGCAAGCTTCTGTAGGATTATTGAACTTCTCTTCTGTCTGCAAGTTTTCAGAACAAGATGCATTGTTAATGGAGTTAGTTATACTAGTGAAGTTAATAATTTATATCATAACTCAGACCTTAAAAAATTAAACTATAATGAGAAAGCATAAGTACTCCCCACAGTGGAGCTATATTCAACATTTTCTTTCTTATTCTTGTGCAAATGGGGGAATGTAAACTAAGTATTCAGACTACCTTTTCGATTTCTTCTCTTCTATTTTCAACTTTCCATTGTCATTCTTTCCCGTACAGTCAATGCTAGCTTCCTTAAATAAAATGTTGAAATTGGAGAAAAAAGCCCTTTCCTAGGAGTTTATCCATTCCTAGTTGACTGATCCTTGGCTATCCCTAGATCTTAGCAGCATTTATGTAATCTCTACCTTTTCAGAAGTAGTACTTTCTCCATTTTATGTTATACTGCTGTTTTGATTGCCTATACCAAAGTCTAACAAAATAGTACTGTGATGATTATGTGCAGTCATACTGGGAGATTACATCTGATGAATACCTAAACTACATAAAACAATATGTTGTGGGAATTGGACCATGGAAGAACACGTTGGTACCTGTGTTAAATAATTATACGCAAACTCCTACTGATCTTGTCTCCAGGGCACATGCTCATAATCTGCAGGTACAGTTCTTTGAAGCTTTTCTCATGATTTATGGATTTGATACCTTTTGGAAGATTGAGCGGATTATTCCTTTATTCTCTTGCCTTATCTGTTGTGACATTTCTCCTTTTTAATTTGTAATCTTTGTATTGTCTTCCATCAATGGTTTGGAGCCAAACAAATGGCAATATAAATTGCTATTGTTGGTGCAGGTGCATCCATATACTTACAGAAACGAGAACTGTTTTTTGCCCCTCAACTTTAGTCAAGATCCGTATGTGGAGTATGATTACTGGATCAACAAGATAGGTGTTGATGGTCTGTTTACAGACTTCACTGGTAGCCTCCATCGTTTTCAGGAATGGACCTCTAAACATCAAGATGATGATGATGATGAAGAAGATGCATCCAGGCTATTGCATAAAATTGCATTGTTGCTCTCCTCTTATAATTGATCTCGAAAGTTCAAATGTTGTAGTTAGAGTTGGGATTAATTTACTGTGTTCAAAAAAGCTTATATTAATATTTACAAGTGAGTTCTTGAGTAGAAGGTTATCTGACAATTAAGCAAAATTAAGCATCACTAATCACAATATAAATCTCCACATAAAGTTTTGGAATTTCTCTAATAAAGATACATACTGTCTACCGTACTTATAAATTAAATTTTATTGTTGGTTAAAAATTATTAGAAATATAGACGAAGTTTGTTAAATAAAATTAAAAAAGTAAAATCGCTATATTATATGATTTGTAATAAATTTCAACGAATAAATACTAGGATGTTTGTGGTTAAAAGTGCGCAAAAAAAAGTGTCCCTCTCAGCTATAAGGAGGTGTTTTATTTCAGGTGATGCCTGCAGAAGCAGAGTTCTACAACATACAATTCTTTATAAGCAGAATTCTGCGATTAACAAGTGTTGCCACTCAAATTTTACTAGAGTCCAGATTTTATTCTGGCTTTTTGTTTGTTTTCAAAATATATTGATTTTTAATATTTAAAAATATTAAAATCAGTATACAACAATACGTTTTGAATGTAAAGGAGAAACATCACCAAAAATTAAGAAAAAAAAAATACAGAGACAAGGAATACACCAAGGAAGGGATGTTTTTACTTGTATTAATTTTGTAGCACCTTAAATGAAATGGAGCGTTTTAATGTTATTGTACAAATAAAACATACTGAAGAAAAACATAATAAAATGTATAATTAAAGATGCCTGATATTTTTTTTCTTGTAAATTATTTATTACTTTTTTGAGATATCAATGTCAATATTAATTCTCCAATTATTAGTAAGGTAAAAGAATGGCAATTCTAGAACTAAAGTAGTTTAGTGAATTATTTAAAAAATAAAAAGAGATTTTATTAAAAAAGGTAGTGAGTCTAAGTTTATATTTAACAAAAATTATATTTAATAAGGTTATAGCTAATTTGAATTTGATTTGTTGTAAATTTCTTTACACGTTTTCTTATATAGATAAAAAATAGTTTGTAGCCCATTAGCATATAATCTTTTTTTAATATATTGCATGTTAAAGTCTAAGTATTGCAAATCATTTATATAAATTCAGGAATGAGAAATAGTTATCCTTACTTTTTTTACTAAAATTTCATCTGAATTCCTCAACTCACAAAACTAAAATGACCACAACAGATTATAATAGCAAATACATAAAATAATTACCATTTATATCATCTGATGTCTCTTCCAGTTTTCCAAAACAAACTTATAAAAACAAAAGAAAACAATTATATATGGGCAGTGTTTGGAATAATGAAGTTCTTTTAAAGTTGCTCATAGTTTTAAAACACGAATATCTTGAATTTCATTATTTATAACTATCTATTATTAATTATTTTTTATAATTGTCACATCTTTTAATTTCACTTTTCAAATTCATTATTAGCAATTATTTTATTTCAATTTAGATTAATAAGATCCTTAAATATTCCTCAATAATAGCAAGAAAAAGATAAAACAAAGAGGATCTATTATTTTTCTCTAATTGGCTTTTAAAAGGTTAAGAAAATATATTTGTATACAAACATTTGTTAATATTATGTGAGATGTTAATTTTGTTTTATGAAGAAAAAAATAGGTTAATATTTATAAATCCTTTCAAATATCCAACCACAAGATAAACAACTTGTAAATGAGGTGGTCTTAGTTGAAAGACATCTTGACTTAAAACGAAACAAATGTTTAGACAATAATTAATCAAATAAAAAAAATATTATATAAATCTTCTCTACTTAAAGAGATTATCCAATACTAAACATTGTTTAGACAAGAAAATTTATACATGACCAATCAATATAGATATTTTTTATCAAAATTGAAAAAGAATCAAATAATATTTGTGAGGATTAGTTTATTTATTATCTCTAACTGTGGCAAAAACACTTAATATCATTTTTACTCGAATTAAAAATTTCATTGTTGAATTAATGTTAGACGTTTTACTTTAAGTCAATCCTAATGTTATTGCTTTAAAACATACTTTATATCCTCATAAATTTTAAATTATTGTTTATATACTAAAAAAACATCATAAAGAAGAAACAATTACCTACCAACACGATCTCGTTGGTAGAAACTATTATAGTTATAAACATAAATCAAGTGAAGGTGTCACAGTACACCACTATTTTTTGATAGAAAACAATAATATTAAAAAAATTGATTCGTATGAATGAAAATAAACATATATGAACTTGTGAACTCTTAAAATATTCACCTCAATAAAATAATATCAACAAAAACTTATATCAATAATAACTTGTTCAAATTAAAGAGAAGATTATAAACTCTACAAGATTTTTTTTAAATAATAATCAATTTTAAAAACTAAAAATAATTATTCACTATAATAACTAGTTTAGATATCAATTTATAAAGTAAAACTTATTGATATATGTATTATGAATAAAAAATTATAATTATTTCTAAGTTAGACATAAATTAACCAATAATATTAATTATAAGATTGTGAGTACCAAACTATCAAATGAATTATTAAAAAATTAGTGTAACTTAGTCACTAAAATAAAATAAATAAATACTTTGGAGTAAATAAATCATGCTAAAAGAGAAACCCACACAATTTATATCAGCTCAAGGTGCCAGTAATTGTTAATGAAAAATTTTAAAAAATTACGTTTATAGATTTATCACTTTTTAAATACCAACATCATATGTAGGGGTTGATACTTAAATTTGTCACTTTTATCAACATCATTTTATAAAAAATTAAAAAATAAAATAAAAAGGGAAAATTATAGACTACTTACAATAAAAATTTAAAAAATATCCTTTAATATATTTAAATTATAATATTCATTTATTTTTATTTATTTATTATTTTGTTCTTTCTTTAAAAAAAATACGAAAGTTTACATTTTATAATTATTTTATTTTTCTATTATGGTATGTGTTAACCGAATATAAAATTGTGTTAAACGAATATAAAAACGTGTCATGTAAAGATTACTCTAAAAATTCTATTTGTGAAAAATGCGGAGAATATTCGTGTGAGTCCTGTATTTTGGGCGCTAATCAAACACCACTGACCAATCATTCATCGTTATTCATTCATTCTGAAGATAAAATCGTTCTCACCAATACTGTTATATAACACTTATTGGGCTTGAGGTTGAAGTGAGGAACACAACATAATTCCATGGCGTCCTTACCCTGTAAGGATCTTTCACTATTCAGAATCCTTTCTCCTTTCTTTTCCGCAGTGTCTTTCTTTTCATTTTGTATCCCTTCATTTCTTCCAGTTGATCTTGGCAAGATGGAAATCTGGGTACATGTGATCTGTAACCGTTGTTTTTCTTAATTAATCAACTACCCTTTCGCATTTACTTTCTGAATGGATTTTCTCTCATGGTAGATTTCAGATCATTGAATATCGTGCCACAGTTTTATCACTAGTTTGAGTCAACGTTCAAATTTACCATAATATCCATGCCATTGTCTTCGTTTATTTTCTTCTCTTCAGATGTGTGTTTTTTCGCAGGTTTTGCTCCTTTTTTGTTTCTATTTCTTGTTATTGGGTGCACTGCAAGGCCTTTTTATCCTCTTCCCAACAAAGGTGATGGGGGAAGTAGGAAGCCCCTACAAACTTTTCGCCCCTATAACATTGCACATCGCGGTTCAAATGGAGAGTTTCCTGAAGAAACTTCTGCTGCATATATGGTGAAGACTATTTTTGTGCAAACCTATATTCTTTCCTTATTCTGTTTCTGATTTGGAAATCGACTATAATTATTTTTTCAGTAATTATGCACAGACTATTATTAGGTAAAATGTTGATGATATAGGAACCATCATTTCTATCGTTGGCTTACGGTTGCCCAAAAACGAATGTTTCCTGCAGAAAGCTATTGAAGAAGGTACAGACTTCATTGAAGCTGATATCTTATCATCCAGAGATGGTGTTCTTATATGTTTCCATGATGTCAACCTTGACATTACTACTGACATTGCAAATCACAAGGAGTTTGCTGATCGTAAAAGAACGTATGAAGTCCAAGGGGAAAACATCACTGGGTTCTTCACTGGTAGAGTAGCTAAACTTGCTATCCTTTCTTCAGCTTCTTTGCAAATTTCCGTAATAAAACAATTAGGGGGTTAATATGATTGATACTGTCTATGACATAAATGCATAAGCTTGAAATTCGCCTCTGATTTCGTTGTTTTTAGTAACGTGTATCGTAAAAGGTTTGCGTATGTTTCAGGTTCTCTAGTTTTGTTGAAAGCCCTATTTGCCGTCTAAACAATGTTTCTTCATGTTGTAATTATCGAATTTTCCAAAATAAGTTTACTTGTTTGTATATTTTCAGTTGATTTCACATTGAAGGAGTTAAAGTCATTGAGGGTGAGACAGAGATATAAATACAGGGATCAACAGTTTAACGGTTAGTCCCTTCTTCCACAGAGTAGTCTCTCATTTTATTATTTGTCATTTTCTTTTGCTTGTTTGACTTGTTCATTCATTGATTTGGAAATATCAAGTTACCACTAAGAAAATGCAGTAAAGACAATACAACCACTGAGACACAGACTCTGCCCTCGCTGGTCTAAGGCACCAAATCCTCTCCACTATTTCCCACCCTCTCCTTCTTCACTTTTTCTTTCCTTCCCCATCTTGCAATTTTTTTTTCTCCTCTTCAATGCCTTGCTGCTAACTGTGCACTGTGTTGCAGTATTCCCTACTCACTGAAGAGTAGACTTATTTTCCTTCTTATTTTTAGGGAAGCTTACTGCTGATGACTTTTTATTTCTTGTGATTCGTGCATGGAACTAATATTGCTTTTGCACACATAAAAATCAACCGTTAGTCCATAACTTTATACCGGTAATCTATTTCAGGAAAGTTTCAAATCATCACTTTTGAAGAGTTCATTAACATAGCACTGGATGCACCCAGAGTTGTTGGAATATATCCAGAGATAAAAAACCCAGTATTTATCAATCAACATGTGAGTATTTCTTTGTAGAATCCAACAAATGCCTAAATGTTAGGAATATATTCGGGGGGAACGGGGGTGTGGACTTGTATCGACAAAGATAAGTTGCTCAGAAAGGCAGAGCTATTGATATATAATTCATCTAACTGAAGAATATAATTGAATCCACCAATTTCCAAATTAAGGCTAATGAGTATTACTGGAGGTAAGATTATGTTGTTGGAAGTTTCTAAATGCAAATTACATTAAGAATTCTTAAATGTTTTACAAAAAATATTACAATGTCATGCTTGCTAATTTCGCCTTAATAGTATAATGTTTTGGCCAAGTTCTTTGGGGATTTTGTCTTCTTTCCGTTCATTAAGTCGAATTGATACAATCAACAGGTTAAATGGTCAGATGGCAAAAGATTTGAAGACAAGTTTGTGGAGACACTTCAGAAATATGGGTTAAAGGGTTCCTACCTGTCAAAAAATTGGCGGAGACAACCTGTATTCATTCAGTCATTTGCTCCAACTTCACTCGTGTATATAGCAAATAAGACGGACTTGCCCAAAATTTTCTTAATTGACGATGTTGATATTCCAACGCAAGACACCAATCAGGTTTGTAATACATTTTACCACATATGTGCAAGCTTATGTAGGATTATTGAACTTCTCTTCTGTCTGCAAGTTTTCAGAACAAGATGTATTGTTAATGGAGTTAGTTAGATTAGTGAAGTTAATGATTTATATCATAATTCAGACCTTAAAAAATTAAACTATAATGAGAAAGCATAAGTAGTCCCCACAGTGGAGCTATATACAACATTTTCTTTCTTATTCTTGTACAAATGGGGGAATGTAAACTAAGTATTCAGACTACCTTTTCGATTTCTTCTCTTCTATTTTCAGCTTTCCATTGTCATTCTTTCCCGTACAGTCAATGCTAGCTTCCTTAAATAAAATGTTGAAATTGGAGAAAAAAGCCCTTTCCTAGGAGTTTATCCATTCCTAGTTGACTGATCCTTGGCTATCCCTAGATCTTAGCAGCATTTATGTAATCTCTACCTTTTCAGAAGTAGTACTTTCTCCATTTTATGTTATACTGCTGTTTTGATTGCCTATACCAAAGTCTAACAAAATACTACTGTGATGATTATGTGCAGTCATACTGGGAGATTACATCTGATGAATACCTAAACTACATAAAACAATATGTTGTGGGAATTGGACCATGGAAGAACACGTTGGTACCTGTGTTAAATAATTATACGCAAACTCCTACTGATCTTGTCTCCAGGGCACATGCTCATAATCTGCAGGTACAGTTCTTTGAAGCTTTTCTCATGATTTATGGATTTGATACCTTTTGGAAGATTGAGCGGATTATTCCTTTATTCTCTTGCCTTATCTGTTGTGACATTTCTCCTTTTTAATTTGTAATCTTTGTATTGTCTTCCATCAATGGTTTGGAGCCAAACAAATGGCAATATAAATTGCTATTGTTGGTGCAGGTGCATCCATATACTTACAGAAACGAGAACTGTTTTTTGCCCCTCAACTTTAGTCAAGATCCGTATGTGGAGTATGATTACTGGATCAACAAGATAGGTGTTGATGGTCTGTTTACAGACTTCACTGGTAGCCTCCATCGTTTTCAGGAATGGACCTCTAAACATCAAGATGATGATGATGATGAAGAAGATGCATCCAGGCTATTGCATAAAATTGCATTGTTGCTCTCCTCTTATAATTGATCTCGAAAGTTCAAATGTTGTAGTTAGAGTTGGGATTAATTTACTGTGTTCAAAAAAGCTTATATTAATATTTACAAGTGAGTTCTTGAGTAGAAGGTTATCTGACAATTAAGCAAAATTAAGCATCACTAATCACAATATAAATCTCCACATAAAGTTTTGGAATTTCTCTAATAAAGATACATACTGTCTACCGTACTTATAAATTAAATTTTATTGTTGGTTAAAAATTATTAGAAATATAGACGAAGTTTGTTAAATAAAATTAAAAAAGTAAAATCGCTATATTATATGATTTGTAATAAATTTCAACGAATAAATACTAGGATGTTTGTGGTTAAAAGTGCGCAAAAAAAAGTGTCCCTCTCAGCTATAAGGAGGTGTTTTATTTCAGGTGATGCCTGCAGAAGCAGAGTTCTACAACATACAATTCTTTATAAGCAGAATTCTGCGATTAACAAGTGTTGCCACTCAAATTTTACTAGAGTCCAGATTTTATTCTGGCTTTTTGTTTGTTTTCAAAATATATTGATTTTTAATATTTAAAAATATTAAAATCAGTATACAACAATACGTTTTGAATGTAAAGGAGAAACATCACCAAAAATTAAGAAAAAAAAAATACAGAGACAAGGAATACACCAAGGAAGGGATGTTTTTACTTGTATTAATTTTGTAGCACCTTAAATGAAATGGAGCGTTTTAATGTTATTGTACAAATAAAACATACTGAAGAAAAACATAATAAAATGTATAATTAAAGATGCCTGATATTTTTTTTCTTGTAAATTATTTATTACTTTTTTGAGATATCAATGTCAATATTAATTCTCCAATTATTAGTAAGGTAAAAGAATGGCAATTCTAGAACTAAAGTAGTTTAGTGAATTATTTAAAAAATAAAAAGAGATTTTATTAAAAAAGGTAGTGAGTCTAAGTTTATATTTAACAAAAATTATATTTAATAAGGTTATAGCTAATTTGAATTTGATTTGTTGTAAATTTCTTTACACGTTTTCTTATATAGATAAAAAATAGTTTGTAGCCCATTAGCATATAATCTTTTTTTAATATATTGCATGTTAAAGTCTAAGTATTGCAAATCATTTATATAAATTCAGGAATGAGAAATAGTTATCCTTACTTTTTTTACTAAAATTTCATCTGAATTCCTCAACTCACAAAACTAAAATGACCACAACAGATTATAATAGCAAATACATAAAATAATTACCATTTATATCATCTGATGTCTCTTCCAGTTTTCCAAAACAAACTTATAAAAACAAAAGAAAACAATTATATATGGGCAGTGTTTGGAATAATGAAGTTCTTTTAAAGTTGCTCATAGTTTTAAAACACGAATATCTTGAATTTCATTATTTATAACTATCTATTATTAATTATTTTTTATAATTGTCACATCTTTTAATTTCACTTTTCAAATTCATTATTAGCAATTATTTTATTTCAATTTAGATTAATAAGATCCTTAAATATTCCTCAATAATAGCAAGAAAAAGATAAAACAAAGAGGATCTATTATTTTTCTCTAATTGGCTTTTAAAAGGTTAAGAAAATATATTTGTATACAAACATTTGTTAATATTATGTGAGATGTTAATTTTGTTTTATGAAGAAAAAAATAGGTTAATATTTATAAATCCTTTCAAATATCCAACCACAAGATAAACAACTTGTAAATGAGGTGGTCTTAGTTGAAAGACATCTTGACTTAAAACGAAACAAATGTTTAGACAATAATTAATCAAATAAAAAAAATATTATATAAATCTTCTCTACTTAAAGAGATTATCCAATACTAAACATTGTTTAGACAAGAAAATTTATACATGACCAATCAATATAGATATTTTTTATCAAAATTGAAAAAGAATCAAATAATATTTGTGAGGATTAGTTTATTTATTATCTCTAACTGTGGCAAAAACACTTAATATCATTTTTACTCGAATTAAAAATTTCATTGTTGAATTAATGTTAGACGTTTTACTTTAAGTCAATCCTAATGTTATTGCTTTAAAACATACTTTATATCCTCATAAATTTTAAATTATTGTTTATATACTAAAAAAACATCATAAAGAAGAAACAATTACCTACCAACACGATCTCGTTGGTAGAAACTATTATAGTTATAAACATAAATCAAGTGAAGGTGTCACAGTACACCACTATTTTTTGATAGAAAACAATAATATTAAAAAAATTGATTCGTATGAATGAAAATAAACATATATGAACTTGTGAACTCTTAAAATATTCACCTCAATAAAATAATATCAACAAAAACTTATATCAATAATAACTTGTTCAAATTAAAGAGAAGATTATAAACTCTACAAGATTTTTTTTAAATAATAATCAATTTTAAAAACTAAAAATAATTATTCACTATAATAACTAGTTTAGATATCAATTTATAAAGTAAAACTTATTGATATATGTATTATGAATAAAAAATTATAATTATTTCTAAGTTAGACATAAATTAACCAATAATATTAATTATAAGATTGTGAGTACCAAACTATCAAATGAATTATTAAAAAATTAGTGTAACTTAGTCACTAAAATAAAATAAATAAATACTTTGGAGTAAATAAATCATGCTAAAAGAGAAACCCACACAATTTATATCAGCTCAAGGTGCCAGTAATTGTTAATGAAAAATTTTAAAAAATTACGTTTATAGATTTATCACTTTTTAAATACCAACATCATATGTAGGGGTTGATACTTAAATTTGTCACTTTTATCAACATCATTTTATAAAAAATTAAAAAATAAAATAAAAAGGGAAAATTATAGACTACTTACAATAAAAATTTAAAAAATATCCTTTAATATATTTAAATTATAATATTCATTTATTTTTATTTATTTATTATTTTGTTCTTTCTTTAAAAAAAATACGAAAGTTTACATTTTATAATTATTTTATTTTTCTATTATGGTATGTGTTAACCGAATATAAAATTGTGTTAAACGAATATAAAAACGTGTCATGTAAAGATTACTCTAAAAATTCTATTTGTGAAAAATGCGGAGAATATTCGTGTGAGTCCTGTATTTTGGGCGCTAATCAAACACCACTGACCAATCATTCATCGTTATTCATTCATTCTGAAGATAAAATCGTTCTCACCAATACTGTTATATAACACTTATTGGGCTTGAGGTTGAAGTGAGGAACACAACATAATTCCATGGCGTCCTTACCCTGTAAGGATCTTTCACTATTCAGAATCCTTTCTCCTTTCTTTTCCGCAGTGTCTTTCTTTTCATTTTGTATCCCTTCATTTCTTCCAGTTGATCTTGGCAAGATGGAAATCTGGGTACATGTGATCTGTAACCGTTGTTTTTCTTAATTAATCAACTACCCTTTCGCATTTACTTTCTGAATGGATTTTCTCTCATGGTAGATTTCAGATCATTGAATATCGTGCCACAGTTTTATCACTAGTTTGAGTCAACGTTCAAATTTACCATAATATCCATGCCATTGTCTTCGTTTATTTTCTTCTCTTCAGATGTGTGTTTTTTCGCAGGTTTTGCTCCTTTTTTGTTTCTATTTCTTGTTATTGGGTGCACTGCAAGGCCTTTTTATCCTCTTCCCAACAAAGGTGATGGGGGAAGTAGGAAGCCCCTACAAACTTTTCGCCCCTATAACATTGCACATCGCGGTTCAAATGGAGAGTTTCCTGAAGAAACTTCTGCTGCATATATGGTGAAGACTATTTTTGTGCAAACCTATATTCTTTCCTTATTCTGTTTCTGATTTGGAAATCGACTATAATTATTTTTTCAGTAATTATGCACAGACTATTATTAGGTAAAATGTTGATGATATAGGAACCATCATTTCTATCGTTGGCTTACGGTTGCCCAAAAACGAATGTTTCCTGCAGAAAGCTATTGAAGAAGGTACAGACTTCATTGAAGCTGATATCTTATCATCCAGAGATGGTGTTCTTATATGTTTCCATGATGTCAACCTTGACATTACTACTGACATTGCAAATCACAAGGAGTTTGCTGATCGTAAAAGAACGTATGAAGTCCAAGGGGAAAACATCACTGGGTTCTTCACTGGTAGAGTAGCTAAACTTGCTATCCTTTCTTCAGCTTCTTTGCAAATTTCCGTAATAAAACAATTAGGGGGTTAATATGATTGATACTGTCTATGACATAAATGCATAAGCTTGAAATTCGCCTCTGATTTCGTTGTTTTTAGTAACGTGTATCGTAAAAGGTTTGCGTATGTTTCAGGTTCTCTAGTTTTGTTGAAAGCCCTATTTGCCGTCTAAACAATGTTTCTTCATGTTGTAATTATCGAATTTTCCAAAATAAGTTTACTTGTTTGTATATTTTCAGTTGATTTCACATTGAAGGAGTTAAAGTCATTGAGGGTGAGACAGAGATATAAATACAGGGATCAACAGTTTAACGGTTAGTCCCTTCTTCCACAGAGTAGTCTCTCATTTTATTATTTGTCATTTTCTTTTGCTTGTTTGACTTGTTCATTCATTGATTTGGAAATATCAAGTTACCACTAAGAAAATGCAGTAAAGACAATACAACCACTGAGACACAGACTCTGCCCTCGCTGGTCTAAGGCACCAAATCCTCTCCACTATTTCCCACCCTCTCCTTCTTCACTTTTTCTTTCCTTCCCCATCTTGCAATTTTTTTTTCTCCTCTTCAATGCCTTGCTGCTAACTGTGCACTGTGTTGCAGTATTCCCTACTCACTGAAGAGTAGACTTATTTTCCTTCTTATTTTTAGGGAAGCTTACTGCTGATGACTTTTTATTTCTTGTGATTCGTGCATGGAACTAATATTGCTTTTGCACACATAAAAATCAACCGTTAGTCCATAACTTTATACCGGTAATCTATTTCAGGAAAGTTTCAAATCATCACTTTTGAAGAGTTCATTAACATAGCACTGGATGCACCCAGAGTTGTTGGAATATATCCAGAGATAAAAAACCCAGTATTTATCAATCAACATGTGAGTATTTCTTTGTAGAATCCAACAAATGCCTAAATGTTAGGAATATATTCGGGGG